ACCTTTCTCTGGTTCATAATCATTATTTGCAATCCCTGGTTAGTATATCATCACAACTTAAATTATGCTAATTAGGTGCAGAAATCATATTGATCTTTAAAACTCCAATATTATGCTAATTAGTTGCAGCAATCATATTGCCAAAATGACATGACAGACAAGATATGCTTTTAACTGTCAATTCTGATCTGGTATATTCTTCCACATGATTAAGCTATATATTTTTAAGTTCACAGAACAAGTCTTAATGCATCAAATATAACAAACATCGGAATGTAGGTGGGTAAGGCCCTGGACCTGTAATTTCTGTTTTAAGGATTATATTAATCAAAGGACCTGCAGTAAAAGCCTTAATGCCCTTTAAATTTGACAAGCAGGCACGTTGTATGAACAAAAGAAGTTTACACATACACGCTTTCTCACTAATTAATTTGAAAGACTAAAAGTGATAACAATGAAAGGGGTTAAGAATATAGAAGTAATTAGTATGTCGTTTTAGCTTAATTCTTTGTTTTATTACTCCCTGCTCCACAACCAAAAAATAAGACCGGGAAGGGGGGGTGGGGTGCTCTGATATCTTTTCAGCTGCTCTCGTGGATAACCTTCATCACTCCTGTTTTCAGAGGCACAAACCATTTTGCACTGAAACTGGGAAGAATGCAGATGAAGAAAAGCAAAAGCACTCTAAGTTTGTCTTCCTATGTATGTCTTTATTATTATTTTTTTGGCTTTTCTTTCTTCGTATTGGATAGACAAGTTCTGACAACAGTTCATAGGGTATGTGCTTGGCATCAAACACGCTACATGTACAGTCATGAGTGGACTGTAAATTTTACAGTCCACTCACATTAGTTGTGGCTCACTAATTACAGCTAATGTGAGTGTGCTGTAAAATTTACGGCCACTAATGACTGTACATGTGGATTTTTTAGCTTGGCATAGCCATGCTGGAAAAAAAAAATGGAGGATGAAAGAACCTGAACTGGGTAAAACCCAGATGGAGTTGTAGCTCAAAGGGAAATAACCAAGGGTAAAACCTTGACTGTCAATAGATGATTCATCATTTTTCATTGAAACCACTCGCAAGTCGCAAGTCTGTGTAGTTAGGTTCTTCAGTATATTTTTGAATCTTGAGGTGTGGATGGAGCAAACACACGAGAAGAGGATCAGATTTTCTAACTGTTCTTGTGTGCTTTCCTGTTGGACTGCAGAATATCAGTAACATTTGTAGACAAGGATGGAGAAGAGAAGCATATCAAGGTCCCTTACGGCACGCCAATGTTAGAAGCTGCACACGAGAATGATGTAGAGCTTGAAGGTAAATATTAAACATGTTCGGTTAAGCTTAAAAAAAATTTAAAAGTTACTTTTCAAGTCACTTTTTGTTTACAAACCATGTTTGGAAATATTGATTTTTGCCGACTTTTATATTAAGAAAGTAAGTGTTTTAAGTCTTAACTGATTGAGAACGTATTTATTTCCTACTTTGACCAATAAATAATAAAATATGTTTTAAACCTTACTCTTTTAATTATAATTTATGTTAAAGAAACTTCTGATTCGGTATTTCCATTCTACAGTTCATACTAAATTTCTCTTATTTTCAAATGAATTTTTGGATGAAATTTTACCCAACTCCATATTTGTAATGGAGTAGTAATTCGATCATTTTTTCTTGAGTTAATAGTGACATGCTAATCGGGCTTGTTGATAGCATCTTCCATGCAAATATGTCAAATTTCCGATCAAATGATATAACACTGTAATATTAATATTTTCCTGAATAATATTTATTGAGCTGGCTAAATTATTTGAATTTTATTGCAGGAGCATGTGAAGGATCACTTGCTTGTTCTACCTGTCGCGTTATTGTGATGGTATGTAGTTACAGTTGAGAACGGATAGTTCACGAATTACCTTCGTTCCCCACGCACCCTACTCCCATTAGAGAGTGATTTTTATCTGTTAAGAAGAAAAAGGACAAGACATTAATTGCGTGTTTGGTACATAGTACTGTGAATAATGGACAGTATAATAAACAATATTTCAGCTTATTTTTCTTCAATAATATTCTTTACCAAACATGTCTATGGCTTTTGATGCTTTTTGACAGGATGTGGGCTACTACAACAAACTAGAAGATCCAACGGATGAGGGGAATGATATGTTAGATCTTGCTTTTGGCCTCACTCACACGTATGTCATTTTTTATGAATAAATTACTCGATGATATGTGGCCTCTCCGGTTATTTAAATGTGTATTCGACGATATTCTGCAGGTCTCGTTTGGGTTGTCAAATTATAGCAAAGCCCGAAATCAATGGCATTCGAAACTTTGCTGTCAGTCGACGGATATGCCTAAACCTCATTAGATCATTCTTATTGCAAAAACATGAAGAAAAGATGCGAGTGTGCTTAATGTGTGATTGAACCAGTGTTGTAGTATCCAGCATGGGGTATTGAGGGTAACGAACAATTATTTGTTGACTAAAAAAATGGTTTTGAGGTCGAAATAGTTTTGAAAAATAACAAACAAGGCTGAAAAGATTTTTGACTAGCTTTGGTGGGGTTCGCCAGGCCCGTGCAGTAGTGCAACGCATGGGCGACGCTCGAAGTCCCAGGCAGCAAGCTACCTTAATGGGCCTTCCCCCTTAAAAAATTAATTTAATATCGTGTGGGCCAATGACCCACATATCAGATATTAAACTGATAAGAACAGATACTACACTTGATCTTAGCCAAAAGGCCGAGAAAGGTATGCTTAATTCAGTTGTGGCCCAGTTATTTTATAATGCGCAGCTCTCTCTCATGTTTCCTTTTGAGTTCGATGTGGGATATATTGGATGGGAATTTCACCACTCATAAAACCGAAGCACGTGTGTGTGTACCTTTTACATCAAATAATGAAAATTGACTTTAACATGTAGAAAAAATATTGAATTTTTTAAAAATACTTTCTTTTGATTTTTTCAACATTGTAAAAAAGAAATAAAAATTTTAATTGCTATCTTCTAGTTAATAATTTTTGTTCAGTGAATAAAAAAAATTCATTAAAATAATATTTTATATCAGTTGTTATTTTTATAGCTACGAATTCATTTCTTATTAATTTTAAGTTGGGGTAATTTTGCAATTTAGAAATTTAGTAAGAATACATGTGTAGTTTTATTAGAGTATACGGTGGCTGTTTCTTTTCTGCGAGAAAGCTTCTTATAAGAGGACAGTATATAAATATAATTTGTGTAAAAAACGAAAACGTAAAAAAGTTATGTAAATAAATATAGTGAGAAGACTTGACTAAAAGTTAATATAGAAATGATCAACCTTTGAAAGTGGTAAACACTTCGATTATCTTAATATTCAACTCTTTCTAATCATTAGAAGTTGATTTTTGGTAGTTAATTGAGTAGAAACCATGCATGATTGTTTCAATGCATATTGAAATATGAGATTTATGTTACTTATGAGATGTAAAGGATCTTTCTAATCACTAGTCAGCGTTGAACGTGCGTTGTACGTTATTCTGAAATATTTTATAAGTACTCTGAAAGTAATATTTGATTCTCCATTTACTCTTTTGATCTAAATATAAGAGAAATGCAAGCTCCTAAAAATAAGCATTAATTACTATATATGCACGAAATAGTAAAATGTTTAAATACTTAAATGAGAGTGTTAGAATTACAATTAAATGAATAAATAAAGATGAATGACTAATACAATACATGCATTTATGTGAATGTTAAAAAAATTAGAATAAATACCAAGAAATATATATGTGANACTAAATCCAACTTGGGTTTGATTTTGATTCAAATAAAAAATATTTTTTTGGTATGATAATAAAGAATTTGTGATTGACGGTCACTAAACAAAGCTTGTTTGTGAGGGATTAAAATCAGATTAAAATTGAAAATATAGTTGTTGGAGTTGACTTTTATTAGACGAGTGGGACCCAATAACGGCTATATTTTCAATTTTAATTGGATTTTAATTATTCCCAAACAAGTTCTAAGTGAAATTGGATTCTAATTTACATACATGTACGTGAATAATGAACTATATTATTGAATGTGAAATTCTAATTAATATTAATTAAATAAATGTGATTGTTAATTAATTGAGAATTAATAACAGAAAACAATGATTTTGTAGTATTTATTACAATTTGTAAATTAAATACATATTGAAAACGAAAAGTGAGATATCATTGAAATAATTGAATTGTATTAGGGCTATAATCGTCCAAAAAAGATTCTCAATTGATGTGATATTTAATATAGTATAGATTAGTCGAATTGAGTAAACTAATGAATTTATTAGGAAATCAACGACGGTGTATGCATACTTAGGAGGAGGAAAAGGTTAAGCCATAATCTTTAAACATTCTTTCTTTTTTTTCCCTATTTTTTTAATCACACATTTTTATAATAAAATAATTTTGCATGTAAATTTAAAATTTATTCTATTATTTTAACTATACGTTCTCCTAAAAACTAGTATTACAAAATTTGTTCTTTCAAATAATAGGATTCAAACAAACCCTAAATTTTGAAGTTTGACACGTGGATTTGTAAGTCATTTAAGCGGTGTTAAAATCATGAATAATGCTATCTAACACCAATAGTGTTATAACATCAATTTATATGGTGTTAAATGATAAGAAAAATACCATTTGTACAGTGTTTAGAGGGCTGGGGCCCACACTAATTAGAGAGGGCTGTAAAAACTACAGCCCTCTAAACACTGTAAGTGTAACAGTGTTGAAATGATAAACCCATTAAAGGTGGAAGTAAGTAATTCATTTAATTGTACTTTTTCATTTAATGTCATATATTAGTGTTACTTAAAATAATTTTTTAAATACCCATAGTATTAAATAGCATTATTCTAAGGTCCTGTTTGATAGGCCTTAAATTCCAAGTAAGATGGAAAACTTCCCACCATTTTCCAACTTTTTGGCTGTTTGATAGGATATATTTTCCAGGCAAAACATTTTCCATTTTACCAGCACATGACCCTCTTTTCCTCAAAATACTGGAATTGGTTTTCCCATGATTCAGCAGGGTTTTTGTTTTCTTGGCAAGTGGGAATTGCAACCAAATTCATCAACTACATTGGCACCTTCTACTCCAAATTCATCCAGTATGCCGCTGGACAAACCACTAGATTTCCACATCGTCAACATGTTCTCATCCTACAATTCCATACCAAAAACCGAACATAACACCTCCAAAATCAGACGAAATTCAAGCTCAAAATCAAGCATTCACGCACGGTTTCATTTCCAATTCTGGCCAACCCTCCAACACCGATGACCATACTCCATTATAGGCCCTAATACTCATCATGGCGAGCAGTTCTATGGTCCCATATCATCAAGAAATGATTTAAATCTGGTTCAATTCCATACCTGTTCGAATGCAGCGAACCACGCACGGTTCATCCTAAATTTCGGTGCCGACGTTGAGATTTACGGTCGTGCACCACCACCATTACCTCCTCATCATTCTGACGGACAACATTCATATATGGGTCTTCGTCAATTTAGCTCGAATCGTACTGGCCAATCCTTTTTGCTACCCTCCACCAACAACCAGACATTGAGTACCTTGTCACGAAAGTTGGAGCTGGTGGTGGTGCTGCAGTAGCAGTTGCTGCCCCTGCTGGTGGCGTTGGTTCTGTTGCCAGGAGAAGACAGAGCCAAGGAGAAGAGTAGGAAACAGGCCTCAGTTTTTGTATTAGAAGGGTCTTTTATAATTTTATCAATTTCATTTTTTTTTTTTTTTTGCAATTCAAACAAATTCTATCCCTAATTGTAACAAATTATACAATTTCAATGAAAAATAAAGTTAAACGAATACCAAAAGATCCAAAATTTCAATATTTTTCAGGTGAAAAAGTATATCAATCAAATGCAGTTAATTGACAATTCCCAATAAAATGAATTCCAGACAAATCAATTCTTTAGAATTTATTTTCTTTTCACCCAAATTTCACTCTTGCAATCAATCAAACTCACCCTAAAATTATTTATGTAAATGTCAATAGTGGCTAACTTGGAAGTTGGAACAGATCTGAAACTTAAGCGACGTAATTGAGTCGAAAAAAATTTGGTGACCTAAATGAAACATTTCTCAAACTTGAGTGACCTCCATTATTTCTCATCCCTCACCCGGTCAGTCCACAAAAACCCTACTCGGGTGTCCAAACGCACCATCACAAAAACCGCCGTCATAATCTCCTACTACCTATCGCCGCCGTATTCTGACGTCATGCTCAGCGCATCCGCCACCGCCCGGTCCTCAGCCGCTCTCTTCAACCACCGTCAAACCACCGCCACCTCAACTACAATCATTGCAATCACCACCACTATCATTTCCATTATAACTATTAACACCATCCGAGTTTTCTGAATTCACTTTTCTCATCGGAATTTAATTATAAGCTAAATAGATCCATCTTCATTTATATACTCAAGTATCTTCGGTCTACTCCTATTTAATTCTCAATATGTCAGCGGTGTATCAGCAATTTTCTGCCTTCAGAAGCTTAAAGGAAGCCGCTTCACAGTTTCAGCTTCTTGATAACCACAAAAGGTCACATTTTCTTATTTGCTAATTAATAATAATTTATTTGATGTTAGAGATTGTTTATTTAATTCAGTTGATGGAGATCCTTAGATTGTTTATTTTAATTTATGAAGATTCTAAGTTTGTCTTATTGTTTATCTGTTGAGTATCATTCTTTATTTGTAATACAGATAAGAAAAAATAAAGTTTGCACTTAGAAGTGTGCTTATACAAATACAAGTATTGAAGAAGTTTAAATTTAAATAATGATTTTCCTGTAATTTCTTTGCATTAGCACAAGTTGCTAATTTAAAGGAAAGCGGGAGCCACAATTCTTCTTGCTGCAGTGAGCGCATTTTCTTTTCTCGCACTGATTCGGATTTTATGTCTCTGCTACTATGCAGGAGGAATGCAAAATGGAGGTCACCAAGAGCAGCCATAATTCCTAATTTTCATCTCCCAATGCGTAGTTATGAAGTTAAAAATAGGTAACCATTGTCCTTTGTTTCCAAGCTTTATATCTTTGCATTCGTGTTTTGTTAATTTTAATAGGACAGAAAATGTGCTGATTCAGGTTTACTTGTCCTTGCAAATCAATTTTCCTTTATAAGGTCGTACTTTTCTTTAATTTATTGTGAGATTGTTCAGGGCATAAAGTCTGAATTATGGTGACGCAGTTTGTTTCTTAGATGATTAGATCTGAGATTTACACTTTCAAATTGTTGTTGATCCTTGCATTACGAGTTGAAATGTTTCACTCATTCTTTCTATGTGAGAAAATATAAACTAAGTACTGTACAATTTGATAAATGCTACTCTCAATTAAATGATAATAGTACGCTGGATACATTTGGCGTGAATTACTAATTTGTGGAACCACCTGCAAAAAGATTGAGTGATTTATGATTGATGAACGTGCAATGTCTTTGTTGGCTCTTTTTGGTTGAGATTTTTTAGTTTGTACCGTCTTAACTCTAAAACGAAGTTTAGATGTTATCTAGTAATTGAATTGTGTCATCTAGATGTGCTTGCACTTGCTAATTGTTAATTATAAATTCTGGTCTCCCTCTCCCATCTACTAAGAACGATTTTATGTAAGATGGAAATGATTTTAAAAGATGTTTTCTGTACGGTACTTGTGAAAGAAAACACTGTTCACATTACATTAGAATATTATTTTATACTAGAAATATGGCCCAGGGCATCGATAATTACTTTCTAAAAGAATTACTAAAGAAAAGATGGATTCTGTTCTAAGATAGTATGATGTTTTAGACTTGAGTACCTCTTCTCCCTTTTGTTTGCAGGACTAATACGGAAGACATAAAATCACTTCGACTGATAACAGCCATTAAAACCCCATATCTACCAGATGGCAGATTCGATCTAGAAGCTTATGATGCCTTGGTGAATATGCAGATTGAACATGGTGCCGAGGGTGTGATTGTTGGTGGCACCACTGGTGAAGGCCAGTTGATGAGCTGGGACGAACATATAATGCTCATTGGTCACACTGTCAACTGTTTTGGTGCTTCCAT